TTGTAAGGATTTTGATACTCGAGATGAGATGACTAGTCATGGGGATATTTCCAAACAGGAGTGATGTAATCTGAGCTGTGTTTTCACATAGGAACATTTGAGAACCAGTAAGAATGGGAACAAGGGTGGAAGCAGAACTCTAGTTAGATAGTAGTTGCTTTCCCATTGCTTTCCTTCAGGTTGTTGTTGTTCCGGTTGGCAAAGGTTCCTTTTGATTTTTTTTTGATTGCGGGGAAATTTTGCTTTTTTGTTGGCTTGGTTTTGAGTTTGAGAGGAGAGAAGTCAACAATGATTCCAAAAGTTTTAGACTGAACTACCCCCTGGGGAACAGGGGATAGCACTAAGTGGTTCTAGATTGTAGTACTTCTGCTATTTGCTCAAATACTTCCTTTAATTATTTGTTTTGTTGCTTATTTAGTTATCTATTTTCCTGATAAGCTTTAAGGATAGTCTATATGTCATGCTAAGTGGTATTTACTAATAACAATAATTAATGCTATTTATCTATTGCTTAGATCATGCCAAACTTCAAGGTGCCTAATAGTTGATATAAACAACAAAATTCTGTCATAAGAAGGAAGGGTGGCAGGATTTTGTAGTAGAGCAATGTACCAGCCACTGGCTTGACCTTGCCAAAAAAAATTTGAGTGGAGTTCAAGAAGTCACTGTGGATCTTAAAACTAAAGACATGAAACTGAAGCAGAAGTTTGAAATGAACTGTAAGTATTAATGGCAAACCTTAATGCTAATTTAACACACAGCACTCTAAGTTTGCTTTTCAAAGGAAGCATAATGGGGGAGATATTTAGGAGTCCATTAAACATTTCCAGAATATTGGGTCTATTAAGCATAACCAAGTATAACTAGGTCATGGTGATAAAGATCTCTCTCTATATCCTGGCTTGGATATAGAAATCAACACATGAGCAGGGCTGGAATAAATATTGCAGGTGCACAGTCAAGGGATCCAACTGTGAGCAGTTGAGAAAACTAGGACAAAGGAACCAAAACAAAGGCTGACAATGTAAGATTTACAAACATGGTAGAGAACATGCTAGAATTTAGAATGATCATCACAAAAGAATCAAAATATCCTGCTATAAGGGATACGCTACAAGTCAAAGGGAAAACACAAAGTGGAAATCAAGAACACAAGAAAATCTTTGAAGATGTCATTTCTGAAGAAAAGGCAGAAAAATTTGAAGCCAGGGAAATAATTCTAAATTCCCCAAAGAGAATAATCTGTCTAGTCCATTCATTTGTTAAATCCTTTGTTCATTCATTCATTCAGCAGACAGTATATAGGTATTGGAAATACAGTGGAATTTTTTTTTAAAAAGATCTTTGCTCTAAAGGATCTTATAGAAACCAGAGAGTGAATGCCAGGCTGGCTGCAAGACTCTGTGGCTCAGGTTCCTTAGATACCTAGGGGATCTATAGCTCTCTCTATATTAAGCATATTCAGAGGAGAGTCTTAAACCTTTTGCCACAAAGTAGACTAAGACTCTCTCCATACTGCAGCTAAAATAATCCCTTTAAAACACAATCTGACTTTCCTCCTTAAAATGCTGCAATGGTTACCTTTTGTCCTTAGGATATAATTCCTTAATACATTATCATGATTTGGCCCCTCTTGCTCTCCAGCTTGAACACCCCTCCTTGCAATCTATGCTCTGCTTTTAGTTACTTGAAACCACAATGCTTACTTTTTATTAATTTTTTTTTTAACAAAATTTCAATAACTTTGGTATAACATAATACTTACTCTTGATATCAGACTCTGGTCTGCCTTCTGTCTGATAAATTCTTTCCTCTCATCCTCATTTGGTTTATTGTTACTAAGTTCTCAGCTTAGACATCACTTCTCTGACCCCTTCTAGCTTAAGTAGTACTCTTTGCTTCCATAATACTGTACTTCATCATTCTTCTCTTACTGTTGTTTATTCAGTTCTATCTTTCTGATAAGTTGTAAGGATAATTCCTGGAGAACAAGATGTATGTCTATTTTGTTTACCACTCCATATTCAGCAACCTCACACAGTGTTTGGCGCCAGGAAAGTATTAATCACATTTGTGGAATTATCTTTTTTAAGAGGCGAGGTCTCATTGTTGCCCAGGCTGGACTTGAACTCTTGGGCTCAAGTGATCCTCCTGCCTCAGCCTCCTGAGTCACTGGAACTACAGGCACGTGCCACTGTGCCCAGCTTACATTTTTAGAACTTTTATTGATAAAATGATGCATGAATATAAGATCTGTGAGGCAGCTATTGTATCTACTTACTAACCATTATATCCCCAGTACTTCACACAGGGCCTAGAATAAAGTAGCTGCTTATTATATTTTTGACTGACTGACTGAATGAATGAATGCTACCTTTGACCCAAGTCGGTCTTACCTTATTTGCATAAAACTCCTGTAATAAACTGGCACAATATATGACACCCTCGATAGTTTGTTCTCTTTTCCCATAAACTATGCCTCAAAATGCAAGACCCTAAAATCTTAAACTATAGCTGGATTTGGGCTCAACCTGCTGTATACCTGTTTGGATTGAGTCTGATCATTATGCTTTCTTAAGAAACCAAAAGGTACCATTTTCACAGTTCCTTGCAAATAGTGCTTCTAATTTTCCCTGCCCACCCAGTTTCCCATCCTTTGTTTTCCAACTAGGTGGTTACATTGTTCTCCAAGTATCACAAGCTGCTCTGGATATGTACCTGTGAGACAGAAGCACAGATGAAAACAAGGGATCTATCAAGCCCTTGAATAGATGAAAAGCAAATCCCAAATATTAAAGGTTACCTCAGGAAGATGGATATCTATATATATTTAAAATTTAAAAAATATTAAGCCAGGAAAATAAAATAACATAAAAAGTATCCCCATGTGGTTGTGGAAGAAATAGTGCATATTCCCTGGTTGGTAGGATGAAAGGTAAGCTATGGTCAGTCCTGGACATTATCTTGAGGGTTAGGAGGGTATTTTATCACTACAATTAATGCTAAATGCCTTACAAAGCTTTTAAGAAAATTACACAGTAGAAAAGTGTTCAGTTTTGATGACCAGTTATTAATATATGAATAACCATGCAAGAAATTGCAATAATTCCTGTAAAATTGTTTTAAAGAATATTATAGTACCACCAATATATTTATCATTATAAATACACAGCATAATTATTAAGTGTACTTACATAGTGTAATATAGGCTACCATTCATGGCAAGTTAAAAGTCCCTGTCCTTTTAAAAATAATTTAAAGGAAACAGTACTGAAAAGTACATGAAGTGGTAAATTATCATAGCCATGCAATTATACAACAAACTTCAGAGCATTTCTATACTTTTCTAAGATCACTAATAGACTTTCTCCCTTTCTTCCTTCCTTCCAGCATTTAGTGATAGATTGTGTCCAGGCATATGCACAACAGATAGATAGAAAGATGACTAAATCAGAGTCCCTGACAGATTCTTCTCTGCCTGCTAATTTTAACCCATTTCCAGATCTAGTACTTTTTCTTCCTTCAACAATCCTACAGACTGGAGAACTGGTTATAATAGAAGCCAAACTATTGCTCAGATCGGTCCTGGTACCTTCAAAGGAGTCCCAATTGTAGGCTGGCAAACAGAGTAAGAAGAGATGAAAAGATGAAAAGACAGAAGAACAAGGGAAGACCCCCTGGAGGTGGTCTCTAAAGAGTAAAGAACAGACAAAATCAATACACAGGTCTAGGGATGAGCCTTCAATTTCATAAGGTCAACTTTTATGTTAGAACAAAGATGATGAAGATGGCTTCAGACAAATTTGTAGATGAGAGAGAAGGGCAGGAATTTTCAAGTGGTCATATCTCACAGCTTGAATTTTCTCTGTGAAGTAAAACATAAGGTGTTTTGCTAAGGAAAAGGGGAGTCAGTGACAGAATGGAATCTTCAAGAAAGAGTGAAACATCACTGTGGAATACAGGAGCAGTGCTCAGGGCCCATCCACTGTATCTGAACTGTACCTGAAGGTACACTGTATCTGAAGTGTTGGTAGCAGAGCTCAGCAGCCTGCATATGGACAGCTACTAATCCAAGTTAAATGGTTTTTGGAAAGGATGAAGCATAAAGAAAAGTGAGTTAGGGTACCGAAGGTGCTAGAAAGAGAATACAGTTATATGCCACAAATTGCAGGATGAGTTGGCCAGAATCAGGAAAGAAAGTGACAGAATGAGAGAATACTGAGTAGGAAGAGACTGGAAAGTCTAGAGAATACAAACTGGAGAATGAAATGTGGCTGTTGTCAAAGAATAACATGTATGCTCAGGGGTTCAAAGGTGGAGCAGAGATGAGTGATAACAAGGTTAAAGATGTGAACAGGTTTGTGGATGTTTTTTTTTTTTTAAAGCATGGATGAAGAGTGCTGCATTGAGGACACAGATCAAGTTATTCATGTGATAGTAGAAGCTAATGTGGTTAAAATGAAAGGCTCTTTTGTGAAGCTGGTGCAACAAGCAGAGGAAGACAGTGGAAAATCCACAAAGGTACCTTGTTTGCATCAACTAACCTGTATCATCTACTATTCCTTAAAAAATACACTCTTTCTCTGTCTATACTATTCTTCTGTTTTCCTGAAGTTACCTGACTGGTTTATTCTGAAAAAAATTTATCAGTTTGAAATAAACTTTTTTAAAGCAGCTCCCCATAGAGAGCTCCCTAAGGCAAACTAATCACAGTGATGATTCAGTTTCAGTTACCGTCTATGAGATCCATCTCTACTAAAATTGTAAATTGTTCTCTAAATTCTCAAAAATGATGACAAGCCACAGTAAAGCAGAAAACACATTTTTTGTTAAAAAAAAATAGTGCTATACAAAAATAACAAACGGCAGAATAATGAATATATGGTGTTTTATGTGCAAAATCATCATGTAATTCTCACTAGTGATTAGCACAATGGTTATCTCTATAATACAATAGTCACACAGTTGGACAACCCACTTAGTAAATAATTTAGGCTTACCTGTATTGCAAGGGCACGGGCAACAAGACCCCTCAGGTATTGTAAGGGATCTTCTGGGCCTTCCCACTTGCTCTGCCATGCGAGAGGACACTGCAATTTAAAAAGGGTCAAAATTGAGTTTGTGTATATGATACTACATATAAAAGACTAACAGTAGTGTGATGGAGAAAAATTTTGGCATAATTCACATATACATATGAAATTCATTAAGATATGTCTGTTTTTCTATGATCTCATTAAATTGAATAGTAGAGACAGCAAGAATTAATATTTCTCTAAAAGGAAGAAAAGTACAAGTTCCTGAAAGAATAAATGGATGAACTTAAACTAACATATAAAAAATAGTCAACCATGTTTTCTTAAACAATACTTATTGCATAATGAAACACAAATTTGACAAATTCACTTTATAAGTGGTGAAGATTATAAAACAATCAGCTTTGGTCCCTACAGTATTTTTTAAAACTATAAATAGAGCAGTATAATGGAAACTTTATTCCCCAAACCACATTGAGACATATGAAACAAACAGAAAAAAATAAAAAGGAGTGCATTAAATTAAAAACAAATAAAATAAAACCTCTCTAAGAATAGCTGCCTTACAAAAGTTATATTTCTAGTATTTGACCTTCCAGTAAAGGCATTCTCTGTTAACGCAGACTCTTCACTGCACAAGTATTCTTGTAAGTTTATGTTGATTATAATATACCTTTTTGGTGAAGATTTTCCTGATTTTCTAAATATTTTATAAATATCACACAAACTTCTCAACATATTATTTTTCTGAAGTGTGGTAATAAGGAGAGAACATCAATTTTATACCCCAAACACTGTCTGATTACATAGTTAAGAAACTATGGGCTAGAATATATCAATAATGTATAGAAAATGGGAATTGTAAGATGACCAAATTTCGAGTAGAAAAGGACCTTAGAAAACACTGAATCCCTTTACTTTACAGGAATAAAGTAAGCCTTCTTAGGAATGTGATAGATAAGTGCCAGAACTGTGCTTTGATCTAAAACAGGTGTAGTGATTTTGAAACACAACTGCAAATCCTTTGGCACTTTGCCTCTTGAGACTTGAGGTCTGTGCTCCTCTCTTCCAATACAAAGGAAGTGATACTATGCCAGTTTCCAAGTCTAGGCTATAAAAAAATTGGTTGCTTATATTTCCTGCCTTTTGAGACTTTTCATCTCAGAAGCCAGTCACCATGCTGCAGAGCCCAAACTGTCTTTGGAGAGGCCCATGTGGAGATAAACAGAGAACCCCAGCTCTCAGCTGGCACCAACTTGCCAACCATCTGAGTGAGCGGTGTGAAGGAGACAAGCTTTCTCTACCAAGCCCTAGTAAATTCCAGACTTTTAAGCTAAAAATTAATGATTTTTAAAAAATATTATTTTAAGCCAGTAAGTTTTGGTGAGATTTGTTCTGCAGCAAGACAACCGATAACAATTTTGATACACCAGAGGTGGGGTGCTGCCTTAACAAAATCCTGAATCATATGGCATCGGACTTGAGACTAGGTCTGGTGGGTTGAAGCTGGAGGGATCTTTAGGAGAATGTAAGTGAAAACTTAGAGGACTTCTAGGAGACTACTAGAGGAAGCCTATGGAGCTTTGAGGACTTAAAAAAAAAAAAAAGGAAGGAAAAATCTCAGACAAACCTCTTAAACAACAGGGCTTCAATAAATCTTAAGGGTGTTGTCCTACAGCTGATGCAAAAGCAGCCTAGGATAGAAAGAAAGGCTTATCTTGAAAAGATTTGTGGTTGTGGTTTTTGTCTAATGGAGTGAATCTCAATGAGATTCATAGCAAACTCCCAGTTTTAGAGAAACTGTTCTGGTGTAAACTATCAGTTTAGGATTACAGGGTTAGGAGAGGGTGCAATTCAAAGAGAACTTGGCTCCAGGGCTTCTATGGGCAGGGTGCAGACTGAGAAAACCACTCAGCTGCAAACATGAGCTATATCTTACTGAAATGTATGGATAATTCAGAGGTTAGAATCAAGAGCTCGAAGGGTAAAGCCAAGAGCAATTAATCATTCCTAGGAAACAATACAACATTCTAATAAAGGAACTGGAAACATGAACTTGCTTGGATTTCAGAATTGCTAAGGACATGTTAGCCTCCCAATCTTCCTCCACCCTTTTTGAATAGGAATGTCTGCAGTTATCCTATGCCTGTCCTACCATTTTATATTGGTTTTAAAGGGAATAGGTAACTTGTCACTGTAGTTCACTGGTCTTTAGATGGGAACAATATTTATGCAGCTATTTTTGAGGAATTGAACCCAAAAAGCCTCATCCATACTTTCACCTGATTTAAATGACAATTTTTTCCCTTTAGCCTTAGCCTGATCCTGTAACGAAATGAAACATGTGGAGGAGTTTGGGAGGAGACGGTTGTATTTTGCATGTGGGGAAACGTAAATAATTTGTGCCTAGAGGGCAGACTGTGGCAGTTTTTAAACATGACTCCTAAATTATTGGACACTCCTCTCACTCACAAGAGCCGGCCATGAGCCCACTTTGGAAGCTGAGCCTTGTGAGAAACCCTGAGCCAGAATACTCAGCTAAACCAAACTTGGATTCTAGACCCACAAAAACTGTGATATTATACATTTCTATTGTTTTATGCCACTAAGCCTTAGGACAATTTATTATTCATCTATAGATGGTTAAGAGAGTTACCAATTTTATTGCCAAGTGTAATACATTAATTCAATAAATGTTTAAGTCATTATTCATCCATTCAGCAATTATTTACTATCTATAATGTGCAGATACTATTAACATAAGGTCCTTGCTATTATGGAGCTTACATTTTATAGCGTGATAGATAATATTTACCTATATAAAAATATTTAATAGTGTTAAATATGTAGAGAATTAAAACATAATAGGTGATATAATAGAAATGATAATGATAGTGATACATGAGATGAATGAAATAAATATAGTATTTAAAGAAAATTAAAAACCAATAAAGGGGATACAAAGCTGAAGTTCCTTGTGGTGCTTTATGAATAAATTATGTATCATGTTATTGGAGTTTAGAGGGAAAAATGATTCAATCAAGGAAGTCTTTAAAAAAGAGGCAGCTATTAAGCTATGCCTTGAGTTGCAGGAAATTTTTTTAAGCTAATATTTATTGGGTGCTTACTATGTGTTAGTAACTATGGTGAGTGCTTGATAGACACCATCTCATATATTCCTCAAAATAATCCTCAGAAGTGTACTATTAGGTAAGTGCAAAAGTAACTGCAGTTTTTACATTGTTAGAATTTGCTGTTTGATATTGAAATGCATTCTTAAATGTACTTATGTTATACATCATTTTAATGAGCATTTCTCACTTTATTTTTTTTTTTGCTAATGACTTATTGCTTGCTGTTTATGTTTATTTTAGACCATGGAAATGATGTTAGGCAAAAAGCAAATTCGAGTGATTTTCTTATTTGAGTTCAAATGGGTTGTAAATCAGGGGAGATAACTGGCAATGTGAACAACACATTTGGCCCAGGAACTACTAACGAACGTACAGTGCAGTGGTGGTTCAAGAAGTTTTGCAAAGGAGATCCTTGAAGATGAGGACATAGTGGCCAGCTATTGGAAGTTGACAACAACCAACTGAGAGCAATCATCCAAGCTGATCCTCTTACAACTACAGGAGAAGCTGCAGAAGAACTCAACATCAACCATTCTATAGTCATTCAGCATTTGAATCAAATTGGAGAGGTGATAAAAGCTTGATAAGAGGATGCCTCATGAGCTAACGGAAAATTGTTTTGAGGTCTTGTTTTCTCTTATTCTACGTAACAATAATGAACCATTTCTCAATCGGATTGTGATGTACAATCAAAAGTGGATTTTATATGACAACCAGCAATGATCAGCTCAGTGGCTGGATCGAGAAGAAACTTCAAAGCATCTCCCAAAGCCAACTTCCACCAAAAAAAGGTCACGGTCGCTGTTTAGTGCTCTGCTGGTCTGATCCACTACAGCATTCTGAATCCTGGCTTAACTATTACATCTGAGAAGTATGCTCAGCAAATAGCTGAGATGCACCAAAAACTGCAATATCTGCAGCCAGTATTGGTCAACAGAAAGGACCCAATTCTTCTCCATGACAGTGCCCAACCACAAGTTGCACAATCAGTACTTCAAATTTGAATGAATTGAACTACAAAGTTGTGCCTCATTCGCCATATTCACCTGACCTCTCACCAGCTGACTACCATTTCTTTAAGCATCTCAACATTTTGCAAGGAAAACACTTCCACAACCAGCTGGATGCAGAAAATGCTTTCCAAGAGTTTCTCGAATCCCAAAGGATAGATTTTTATGTTACAGGAATAAACCAATGCATTTCTTATTGGCAAAATGTGTTGATTGTAATGGTTCCTATTTTGATTAATAAATATATCTTTGAGCCTAGTTATTAATATAAAAACTTAAAATTCATGATCCAAAACCACAATTACCTTTGCACCAACTTAATACTATAATTTCCATTTTACAGAGGAGAAAATGTAGACACAAAGAGAATAGCATGTTCAAAAATCACAGAGCTAGCAAATGGCAGATCCAGGATGTAAACCCCCAGGTAACTAGGCTCTAGAGTCCATATCAGCACCAATACTGTCTTCATAGATTTTTCTATAATGATTTATATATATTAAACCATTTGAGATTCAATATAAGATAATTATGTATTGGGAATTAAATTTATAATGATGGAGACACTAAGACTTAGTTTATTTAATCTTAAAGTTTTTTGTTTGTTTGTTTGTTTTTAAACTAAGTGATAGAGAAGTTGAATCCAGGTCTAACCCTAAATGTAACCTCTTTTCACCATCCCATGTGTTTCATGAAAGATGTCACAAAAGCAGAACCAGTTGTAACCAGGGTGTTCATTTGTTAACTCACTCTCTCTCAAATATCAATTAAGTCATTATGCAGCAAGTATGAGTAAATAGCTGCTATCTGCCCATCATTTGTTAACTGCTGAGGATACTAAGTCACAACACAATTCTTGTCTATAAAAGCTTATGATAGAGAGGGAAATCGACAATAAAAGAGATGGCTA